CCCCTGGAAGTTTCTTTCAATCCTACATTCCATTTCCAACATCCTGTTGATCCTGTCTGCTCAGTATTTCTTCTTTGCAGAATTTTTTCACAATCTCACATCAAAAAGTGAACTTGTTAAAGCAGACTGTTCAGACTTGGTATCTGCCAGCTGATGGCTGGCAGTTTGCTTACCTGTGTGGCAGCAGATGCCCTCCTCAGCTGCTGTCTTGCTGGCCAGCATGCCCAGCTTCCAGTGACATGACTGTCTTGAGCAGACTTGCCGGTGTACTTGTGCTCTGAAGCTCCTGCTAGACTTACTCAGCATAAGGGGCTGCACTGTAGTAAGCTCTTCAGTTATTGTAGGGTGGCTGAGGCCATGTGCTCCTTATGCCACCTGACACCTGGGACAGGCAGGAATACATATGGAAGCCTGGGCAGAGTGAGGATACCCTAGGAACTGCCCATCTGACTGTAAGACAGGCTTCACAGTGCTGACAACACATGAACTGAATCTTGAAAGGAGCCCCAAGAGGGATGTGGACCTCATCACAAGGCACGGAAGCACTACTTTGAGGCTGGCAGAGTGGACAGATGACCAGTAACATGCACTCACACGCAAAGCACAGGGGGCTTATTCTGGAGGCAATGGGAAGACGTGGCTTGGTGAAAGGTTGTTTTAGAAAGTCCTCTGACAGCAAGGTGGGGAGGATGTGCAGAGGCCATCTCACCAGTTTGTCCTGGTCTCACCGGGGTGTTGCCTAGGTCTTCCTCCATCCTGCTGCTCTTCCTGCATCAACTGTGGTTTTTGTTACACATCACTGACTGGTCTGGCAAGGTGCACAACCACCACGGTGGGACCCTTGCTCACTGGACTCCACCTGCTCCCGATCCATTGAGAACCAGCCCAGGGAGACAGGTTTTCTCTTCCCTAACTTGAGGCTGAAACCCCTGAGGAATAGGGAAAAGGCTCTCTACCCATGGTGTTGCACCCACCTTATGGCTCCTCAACCCCACCCTGCTTGGGAGTGGGGGTGGGAAGGAAGGACACAGGTGAACAGGGCTATTGAGGTTGGAATGAATTTTTAGAGGTGTTTGGGAAGAACTGACGAGCACCAAATGGTGCATGGGAGCGATGAGTGGGGAGGCAGGTCAATGCAGTCTGACACTGAGATGATAAAAACCCAGCACTGAAAACCACAGCACTGGTGAGTCAGTCCTGAGAGGCCAGCAATGGAGCGGGCTGCTCGCAGGTATAGGAGTGGGAGGAAGCACTGCTGGGTGTGAACTATGGACCAAAGGGTAGATGCGGAGGATACACAAGGTGCTACGCCATCCCTAGCTAGTCTTTCCTGGCCACTGGCCCCTGACAAGCATTTACCCCACCCTCCCTGCAGTATTGGGGGCCCTGTCCCCAGTCTCTCCTCCAGCACTGGGAACTCTTGAGCAAGCACTGCTTCTTCCAGCTGGCCCTGACATAAGCTGAAAAGTGAACTTAGTGAAGAACTCTGGCTCAGTGAACTCGGCAATGAAAATGAATGAGCCCTAAAATGGTTCTTTTTTTTAAAAAAAGATTATAATTCAGTTCTTTATACAGCTTAACATGAATAAATAGACATTCTTAACAAGGCCAGGTCCCCAAATGCCTTCATCACTGGGCTTTCTGAAGAACTTTTTTCAAAGTACAGTTCTTTCAGTGGATCGGTTTTGGTAACCCATGGAAACCCAGGGCATGAGTGGCGCCTCCCAAGGGCAACATGGAACCCTCTGAATTAGCTGCTCTAAGCTGTCACTTTGTTTGAGGGAGGGCTATGGGAGGGAGGAAAGGGAAGTGACAGGTGCTCCCATTTTACAAGTTCTTTGCCAAAGGAAAAGTAAAATGTTATTTTGCTGAATATTAGCATTTTACTAGACATATTTTGAAGAATAATTGAATGTATTGCAAACCTGACTTTCCAAGGGGAAACATTTTTAAGTGGATGAAAGTGAAAACACTCCTGAACAGACTGTACCAGCTGGAAAAGAGGAGTCTTGTTAAAGACTGCAACTGGTGGCTAACCCATTTTACAGCTGGTTGGAATTTTACATTAAAAAAATTCTGGTTGATTTTGATAAATCTGCAAAAAGTCTGATTTCACAGGAAGTTGTGATTTTTTTTCACATTGACTTCTTTTAAAGAATGTGAGGAGTAACAGAGCAATCCTAGGGAACAGCGAGCGTGTCCTCTGAACAAGCGTAACACACCTTAGTGATCACTGCTGCCTGGGAAGGATGCTGTTGTCTCCTGCACCCATGACGGTGTGGAAGTCCGGGGGACTAAGGGCAGAGGAAAAATATGTCTGGACACTCTGAAACATTTAAACTAGTAAATACTAAGGTATATGTTCCTTTGAAAGACTATACATTCAAGGGGCGCCTGGGTGGCTCAGTTGTTAGGCGTTTGCCTTCGGCTCAGGTCATGATCCCGGGGTCCTGGGATCGAGCCCCGCATCGGGCTCCCTGCTCGGCGGGAGGCCTGCTTCTCCCTCTCCCACTCCCCCCGCTTGTGTTCCCTCACTCACTGTGTCTCTCTCTGATAAATAAAATCTTAAAAAAAAAAAAAAAAACTATACATTTAAAATACTTTAGCTACTGCAAATAGGCTGAACCAGCTCTCTACAAAGTTTTCTCACGAACTTCTGTACTGCAGGGACGGCCCTCGCAGGTGCACAGCCTGGCTTCATCTGTAGTCGGTAGAAATCATGAACAGCCCTCTAAGGCTTTCAGTGCAGGTCAAACAGGGGGTCTTGTTAAGCAGAACCCAAGGCACTGCACCCCGGGCCAGAGCTCCACAACAATCCCAATACAGTGGATGAAAATAACAGATAATGAGCAAGGGACACAGCCAGATCAGCACTTCACACTGGAGTCACACACTCGCCCTGGCTCCTTAGGAAGACTGCAAAGGGAGGTAACTTGCAGGTGGTGTGTTTGAGGGAAGGTAAGAGGGAAGATGCGAGCCTTTTCCTTTTGACAGGTCTACCCTGGAACTGTTTCCTTCTGGGTGTGCTTGAAAAACATATTGCTGACCTATCAAATTCTAAGCAGCAGAGCTATGGGGACGCAAGTGGACATTGGAGAAGTCCTGGAGCTTCACAGCCCCAGGGCCTGCTCCACTCCCGTCTGGCTCCAGGGCTGGCTCAATATAACCATCCCTGGCAGATGGGAAATCACCAACCATTATCGGTTGGTGGAACACATGAACTAGAACCAGAAGTGTTACTTGGACCTGAGTGGGAGGAGACCCCAAGACCCCAAAAGGCCTGGAAGTCAGGGTTCTGCAGCCACTAAAAGATGCATGGGCCCCACTGGCCAAGTAGGCAGCACAGTATCAGTTCTCCACTGTGACGGGCCAGGCTCGGTGTGTTCTGAACAAGATGGGGAAGGGGCAGGGCTCTGAGGGATTTCCACTGGACTGAAAGGGATGATCTCGTCATGCGGAAAGGTCATTTCTGAAGAATTACTGATCTCTGATAAGCGAAGTATTTCTCTGCTGTCAGAATTCACGACAGCTGTCCCTTCCACCCCTTTACCTACAATATGCATTATTTCCATTCAGCTGTGGGCACCGAGGTCACCTCCTCTCCGCCATCTGCACCACCAGCTGTGCAGCCTGGGAGCAGCCCGGGCAGCTGTGAGGCCCACCATGACTCAGGCCTGGGACTGCCCAGGCAGAGAACCACGTGTCCTGGGTCCCAGGGGCAGAACTCAGGTGTGTGGGCAGGCACCGAGCAGAGGCCAGCCCTGGGTCCAGCTGACCAGGTTCCTGTGACACTGGGCAGAGCTCCAAATAGAAGTGTGTAAGCTGCAGTGCCTCTCCCAGGCTTCAGGAGGGGAGGTTACTGTGGTCATCCTCACAGGCCCTGAGCCTCCAACATCCACGGTGCCCTTGATCCAGCCCCACTCTTCCTGCTCTGGGCACCAGTGTGGACCATCAGTCAGGGCCCCCCTCAATCTAACGGGTACAATTCCCGATTACAAATGGGAAGCATGGCCTACATTCGTTCCCTCCTGATCTCCAGGAAGACTGATCTCATAGTCAGAGATTGTATTATAAATTAAGAACAACAATCCAGACTGGGTAGATGGAAAGGGGGTGGGATCCAGAGGTCAAAGGAGGCTGTCAGTTAAACTTGAGTGTGCCGGGCAGGCAGCAGGTGAAAACCAATACATTTATTTTGCATTTGATTCCACTCGTTCAGATGTCTAAATGCTGGAATAAATCCATCTGCCCCCTTAGCGTTCTTGCTCGGAAGTGTACTGGCCTGACCGAATATGGCTACGTGCTGCTGCTGATTCCTGGCCCTCCACGGCCTAGGAGGCGCCCCCGAGACCTGGAACCGCAGCAGACTCAGAGGCCACAGGAATGGTCTCAGTGACATCAGACATTGGTGGGCTGATTCCCGAGGTTATCTGTCCTGTCCCTCAGGTCACGAGGGTCTGGCTCTCTGGCGCCGCCCACTGGCTCACAACCACAAGACTGCTGTGGAAACACCAAGCCCCCAGCTGCTCTGGGCTCCAGCCAGTTTCCTCTGGGCAGTATGTGAGAAAGGGCTCCCTGCCTTTTTTCTTTCCTTTTTCTCTTTCAAAAATCATCCAGATCTAGGGCACCTGGGTGGCTCAGTCGGTTGAGCGACTGCCTTCGGCTCAGGTCATGATCCCAGGGTCCTGGGATCGAGTCCCACATCGGGCTCCCTGCTCTGCGGGGAGCCTGCTTCTCCCTCTCCCACTCCCCCTGCTTGTGTCTCTCTCTGTCAAAAAAAAAAAAACAAAAAAACAAATCATCCAGATCTAGCTTCAAAATCCAAAACTTCCTCGCCCCATCTGGACCCAAAAGCAAGAGCTGATTTTTAAAAGCCAAATTCTTGTTTCATTTGGACAGAAGGAATAATGTGTCTTTCATGTTTTCTTTGTATTTCTCTTCAATAGTTGCTTGACCCAACATCTTTCTGTCTGCTCTATACAATGAAAATACAAACTAAATGAGAATAGAAAAAAATAATTAAAGCATTAAATTGTACAAATTACAAATCTGTTCCAAAATATACTTACATTAAATAAAATACGCATTTCAGTAAGAGATCTACAGTGAATGACTACGCATTCTGGGAAACTTCACGACATCTAGGCAGGGCCAACATCCGTGTGAGGGGCTAAGAGAACTGGCATCCAATCACAGTATGTAGCGGGTTTCTCACTGCTCCTCTGCGAGCTACACTGAGCACGTCATCAGGATCACTTGTGCGGGGAAGGATTTGGGGAAAAGGGGAAGAAGCAAGCGCTAGCCTCAATTCTGAGTTCATTACAACTTCTCAGGAATCTCTCAATAGCCTATACAGTACAGTTTCCAAAAAGTAAACATGTTAAGGGAAGCAGACAACTCTTTAGAACCCCAAACACATTTTCTTGCTGTATTTATGTGGGACTCTCCATCTACAATGGGCAGCCGTGAAGAGGTTCTTCCTCGGGACAGCATGGTCACAGGATGTGGATGACCCTGTGGGTCTGAGGGGAGCGAGGACTGGGGAGGGGGGCTCCCTCTTGGTTGAGGTTGGAGACAAGCCTACAACACACAGTCCGCAGCCCCACCGTCTCCTCCTCCTATCATCTGGCGTAACGCTTAATGTAGTCTTCCACTTTATTCCGGAAGTCCTCCTGTGGAGCGAGAGGGATCAGGGAGAGAAGAAAGAAGGGGGAGCGAGTTAGCGAGGGAAACAACACTTCCAGAACAAGTGGGACCCACCCGAGCTGAGGAGCCACTGTGAGCTCCTGAGAGCAACACGGAGGACCTGGCCTCCAGCCGCCCCCGCCTCAGCTGCCACGGCTGCAGGACCGTCAGAGGCCCGAGGAGCGGAGCACCCTCTCCCTACCACTCCAGGTGCCCGCTGTGTGCAGGACGCTGTGTGCAGGACACGGGGCCACTGTGCCAGGAGGGCTGGGGGTGGGGACCCAAACACAGAAGAACTGAGTAGACGGGAACCTAAGACCCTTCGTTTTGCAGATGGGAAGGGTGAGGCCCCGAGTGGTCAAGGTGGCAACGCAGGTCAGGACAGGGCTCTTGACCTCAACTGGAGATAAGTCGGAGCTGCTGTTCTCCAAAGACCCGTGTCCAGATCTGTCTTCCTAAAACAACCCCCCAGACCCTGCTGCCTATTTAAAAGGTGCCCACTTTTCATGGTGAAGTGCAGCCCGCCACCCGAGTGACCACCTTGCCCAGAAACGGTGGGCTTGCTGCAGAGCTCCCCGCCTAGGCATCAAGCAGAGGCCACCTGGGCACCCAGCCTGATTCCTCTGGCGACAAGAGGCAGTGTGGCCCTTGGTGTCTCCAGGCCAGTATGGGCAGGAAAGTGCCACAGGTGTGCCCCTCAGGTCTGTTCTAACATTAGGACCTAAGTTCCTTGGCCTTGCAGGACTGGGCAAGGCCACATGCGCCATGAGGGACTTGGAGCTTGCCCACCTCAGAACACCTGCATTCAGTGCTCAGGACACTGTGATGTGACAGGTGGAACTCAACCCTCTTACTCCTCCAACACGGATGCTGGGTCACTGACAGCCATGGGGTCACACTGCTTCAGTCCCATCACGTGACAGGTACCACCACGGGCCGCACGGTGCAGAGAGCTCAGCAGAGCCCCTGTAGGCGCGGTGCTGGCTGCGCCCTCTTGTGGCCAGTCCTTGCCCGGAGTGGCGCCTAGAAGGGGGTGGCCACACTTAATTCACATGGTGACCCTTCCAAGGTCAGGGTGGGTTCCTGGTTTTAAGGTCTGAAAATGGTTTGGTGGTTTGCTTGCCATCTCAGGTGAGGGAGTGGAGAGCTGCTGAGCCTGTGCTTGTGGACAGGACTGCGTTCAGAGGCTCCCACGAGCCCTGACTTGGCCATTTCCAAAGTACCCAGAAGCCAACAGTACCGTCAGCGGCTAAGGAGCCTGTGGCCACAGGATGTGAAGACCCCACAGGCACTGCTGCCCCGTCCTGCCCTCAGGTGCTCAGTCTCACCCCGGACGAAGCCCAGGGCCCACGGCCCCCAGAAGCCCTCTGTGCTCAGGCTCCCTCCTCTGCCTGAGGGCCCACAGAGCAGGGCCCACGAAGACCACAGACTCTGGGGCCAGACTGCTTGCCTGGGTTCACATCTTGGGCTCTGCCCCTTCCTGGCAAGTCTCTTCCCTCCATGGTGGCTCTGCCTCCTCAGCAGCAGATCAGGGATGGTAAGAGTCCCTCCCTTGTGGAGATGTCAGGAGAACAAATGCACTCTGGGAGGCGGGTGGGACAAGGCCTGGGAGGGCCGCCCAAGACTGCCACTGCTCTCACGTCACCGCCGTCCTGCACCCCAGCTCTAGTCACGCCGGTGTCCATACTCCTCCCTCAATACCCTGAGCACATTCCAACCTCAGGGCCTTTGCACCACTGTAATACTCTCCAGAATACTCCTGCCCACTCTCCATTTGGTTCACATCAGATCTCTACTCACATCTTGTCAGAAAGGCCTTCTCTGAGCACCCGACATCAAACAGCAAGACCCATCATTGGCCCCCCTGGCCCCTCACGTTATGTTTGCTTATCTGGGCTCTACCTCTGCCCACGAGCATGGCCGCTCCATGGGGACAGGGACTGTCTGTTCATCACTCTATCCTGAGCATTTGCACCTCACCTGGCACTGAAGTGGCCCCAGTCAAACTTGGGATGAACCATGAGCACGAAATAAAGTAAGGAGAAAGTTCAGTAACTGTCATCATGACTCAGCATGAGGATGGGGTGGGGCTGGGGCACTTCTTAGAAGTGGAGGCATCACTATCTGGAGGATTTTAGGTCCATCTTACTGGGGCTAACAGTTTATAAATGCAAGTCTTCCCCTTATTTCATACAAAGAGCAGGAAGCAACCTTCGAAGAAAAATAAAAGGATAGACAATTTATAACAGGTCTTTCTCCACCTGGCCCTCTAAGAGTGGACCCATCATTACTGATTTCTTTCCCTGACTCGGCTTACAAGACACATCGCTCAGCGGGAAGTCCATGTCAGGGACAGTTACCGGTGGAGCTGCAACGTGAATGGAGCTGCCTGGAAAGGGGCGGGGCGGGCAGTGGGGGGCAGGAACACACCTGCTTGTCATCGCAGTGGACAAACCAAGGCTCTGCGGGGTGGTGCAGGGGGCTGACTGCTGCGGGCGGGCGGGAGATGCCGTGAGAGCAGCCGCGGGCGCATCTGCGGAAGACCTCTGCTGCTACCAGCCCCTGTGCCTGACCAGAAGCACCCACTGACCCTGCAGTCCCACCACACGGCTCACTGGTCCCGCTGTGCCTGCCGCACGGTTTTGTGAGCCGGGGTACGTGCCGGGTGACGCGGTCCTCCCGGGGCCCGCTCTCTGGTTGCAGTAAACATCACACACAACACATTTAACATGCCCCCCCTCTGGCACACAGCAGGTCTCACATAAACATGAGCACCTGCTCTTCAGCTCGGTACTGAGAACCAGGTCGATGGCACTTAGAACTTCACAGATTCAAGGGAGGTGCTGGGTAACGGCCTTGGGTGGCTGATTTCTGGGGTGGGGAGGATTCACAGGAACACGGTTCAGAAAATGAAACTTGAGGCTCTATGACTAAACCAGGTTAGCCCTGCAGGGCTGTCTGCTGAGGCCTAATGGCTAACTAGCCTGGCTCCAGGTGAAGCTGCATAACCTCGAACAGCCTTGTTCTGATCCCAGACGCCCAGACTGCTGCTCCAGCTCCTAACACCTTGTTCATGCACCTTTAAGGATGTACGTAAAAGGGATATTTATTGCATTATCATTTGTAGTTGGAAAAAAAAAAACAACATGGGGAAAACCTGAGTGCCGACCACTCAGAGAATGGTTGAAAAAAGTATGGTAGAGCCACTAAAAAGTTAAAAACAAACACCAAAACAAAAATAAAAAAACTGAGAATTAATAATAAACAACAGGATCCCATTATTTTGGACAGAAACCCAGTGGGCTTGTGAGTGCAGAGGCACGCTGGATGGACCTGGGGGTGTGAATGCTGTATCCCCATACTGTTGTTAAGGCAAAGTAACAGCGGCCTGTTTTAAATCCCTCAGACTGAATTCTACTAGGAAATCACATCTAATAGAAACACTTCTGCCTGACCTTGGGTCAAATACTTAACTGAGACTACTCACATTTATCACAACACATTACTTACCAACTGCTTTCAATTCCAGGTGTGGACCCACCATTCTCAGCCTCGTATTTATCTGAGCAAGAGCTTGTAATCATCTTTTTACCAAACCCATCCACCTCGAACGCTACCACTAGCTTACCTTGTCCCTCAAATGATGTTCTGCAGCTTCAATATTCAGCGGATCATCAAAATTCAAAAGATCCTTAAAAAGAGAGAAACTCAAAGTAAACAATGGAAAGAATGCGTTTTTCGGCCGTCACAAGTCTTCATTTTATGAGCCAGATGACATAACTCTAATCAGCAAACAGGAGAAGCTAGAGAGTGGAGAGATTCTATAACGGATCATGGTTCCTGGGACAGAAGCGCACAGTCTGTGTGGGTGTTTTCTCAATGTTGGTGAATGGCGGACTGAAAGATCATGATGTTTACATACAACTGTCCAAAGTTCGGTGAAAATGGAGGTTAGCGATCACATTAATTCCTAAAGCTATTATTATGAGCATTTCCAAATAAAAATCCCATTCTTTTTTCCTCAGAAATTCTTCTAATTTGTGATGAACATCTTTGCCTCTCTAAGTCTCTGGTTTCCATGCTGACCTTCTCTTCTCTTTACATTTTGTTATTCCCCTTCACAGCACTGCACTCATACCCAGCAGGGATGGCGTTTGGAGCCTGAGGGCGGACAGCGCCAGGAGGACCCTGTCCCCCAGGCCTTTCTACCTTAGAAAACCCGGGGGTGGGCGGTGGGGGGCGCCTGGCTGGCTCAGTCCTTGGAGCCTGCAACTCTTGATCTCGGGGTTGTGAGTTTGAGCCCCATGTTGGGTGCAGAGATTACTTAAAAAAAATAAAATCTTAAAAAGAAAACCCCGGAATGGCTACTCCCCTCTCCCTGCAAGAAACACCATGGACTTCAAATCGGAGGCCATGCCGTATCTTTATACTGCCTATGAGAAGTCATTGCTTTCCAGAGTCACTGATGGTCACTGTAAAGACAACAGGAGAAATGTTAAATCTGGGGACTGTATTTCTGATTTGGAAATAAATATGGGGTATGACCAATATGTTACAAATAGAGCAAGGAAAATTCTTAAGTCTCTATGATCTCTATGATCACTTGTAAAGTTGAACAATTAGACTTCAAGTCCTAGAAACAGGCAAAAATATGAAGCACATAGATGAGATACCCAGTGCATATAAAGACCACCAGACACACAAAACTCTTTACTTTCCTTACCATATATCTGACCTAAGATGAATAGATTGGCTGGAATAACCAGTAGAGGCTTCATCAGCAATTCTGGTTGGCCCTCTAGAATTTGGAACACTGGAGGGACGGGGACTACACCAGATGAAAGGCTAAATCAGTGAAGGCAGCACGAACTGCTGGGCAGATTTTAAATCATGCTGCAGCCTTCACAGCTCCAGAAGTAACACCGCGCACATCCATGAAGAAGCCAGAGCACGATCACAACAAAACGACGGCACTACCTTCCCCGGGGGAAGGGAAGGCCCGAAGCCGGGAGTGCTGGGCTTGCTGCTGGTGCTCCAGGGGTCACCTGGGACAACAGACGAGAAGGCCAAGGGCGGCAAGGCCTTGGGGGTCTAATTTTGAGGCTCTGCTGCTTTCATTTTGCTGCCAATAAGAGCAAGCGCACCGTGGCCTCGGACAGCAGCCTGGCCCCGGGCGCCGGCGCCTTGTCAGCACACCTGCCTTAGGCCAGGAAGCTGCCCCTCCAACGACCCGCCGTCCTGCGGGCTGGCCAGGGAGGGCTCCTTTTCATGGAGGGCCGAGTTTCATCAAAAGTAGCACAGGTCCCCGCCCCACCCCATAGACAGACCCTTGAAGCTTATTTCTTTTAAAGCTCTTTTACGGTCAAAGAGCAAAAACTCAAAAGACTAATATTGTATTAAAAAAATCCAAATAGCAGCTTTTAGCTTCTCCCCGTGTCTCCCTCTGCCCTCCAGCCCCTGCCTGGGATATGCTGTTTTCTGCAGACAGCAAACTTCGGCAGCCCGTCACTGAGGAGACAATGGTTCTAAGGTTCTGGGTTTGTGAAAAGCCTCAAGGTCAGGTGACCACACGCTCCTTCACCCAAACCAGGACACCTGGGAGGGCAGAGGGCTGCTAGCGAGGGCAGACATGGAGTGGGGCCGGGCCAGGCGCCCCCAGAGGAAGAGCCGCCCACGTGAAGGAGGCTGCAGCCAACGAAGAGCCCCGGCCCCAGCCCTCCCGTCCCTGACGGCCTCCCCATGTGCCACCCCAAAGCCCCCCCCAGTTCCCGTCTCACTGTTCCTCTGCCTCATATAAATCCGACAGAAAGGAGGAGTTCAGCGTGTACAGGGTGCTGTTTTTAATCCCTCTAGGTTACCCTTAATGTGATGTTTAAAGCCAATAGTCAGAGGATTCAAGAAAAGCTTGGGATTCTGGTCAATATACTTACAGTAAACAAAGAGTTTAATCCCCAGACAACATCCTGGAATGAGAAAGAAAGAAGAAAACAAGTTTTAGGCTCCTGTGCATTTAGTGTTTCAAACCCATGACCAAGAAATACGTACTGTGTCAGGTCAGAATTTATCTTTAGCATGCTGTTTTCCCTAAGACAGAAACTTAAAACAACTTCTCTCCAATATGACAACAGGCTCTGGGAAATTTGGAGATGAGCAGTCACAGGTAGAAAGACAACATAAAATGCCCTCGGAACCCAGCCCAAGGAGCCAACGGGCTGTATCTGCTCAGGGCAATCCCACCTTACATCACCTCGTGCTCGTCATCTTCCAATACAGTTCGGGACTTCCAAAGAGTCCTCTTTACAACAAAATCTGTTGTTTCTGCATCTGTGTCCTCTTGGGGACTGCATATAAGCTAATTACCCACATCCCACAGGCCTCTAACAATTTTGCTCTAATTACTTAAAAAAAAAAAAGTGGAAGACTGATAAACACTTCCTACCTAACATTCAAAGATCAGAAATTCTCATTAAAATAAAATGGAAAACCAGTGTGTTCTCTCTGGACTGACTTGTCATCTGTGACTCAACCACCAATTCCCTCTCAACATTCCTCGTCATCAGCTCAAGTCTTGTCTTTTTTAGGCTGCTACTCTGCTAGCTGGCAATTTTAATCACCGCCTCTGCTTTGTCCCAGCCATCCACCCGTGTCCTTCTGGGGTGAGCTGAACCTGGGGCCGGAGCTGGCAGTAAACACATGCTCTTTGTCTGGTGGAGAGGTCGGACAGACAGGCATGTCAGCAGAACTCCCACAGAAGTGTTCCCACAGAGGACCCAGCAGGGAGGAGAGGCTTCCCAGAGGAAGCAGGGCCTGCCGGGTAGAAGGACGACAGGAGGGAGCACCTTCTAGGTAGAAGGACCCCTGTGCCGAAGCTAAGTCCGAAGTGGGCAGGACATGTCCAGGGTGTGGTGAGAAGACAGGCCGGGCTCCCCATGGCAGTAGAGACCACACTTCAGAAGGATCCAGTCAGGCCTGTAGGTCTGCAGTGTCCTCTGACTCTGGGGGAGGGCCCCAACACCTTCCCTGTGTTCTTCTCCCAAAGTGCCCACCTGGAGATACCCAACGACAGTGCCTACACGCCAGAGTTTGCAGCTGTTGCCCATGAGGTGTGGTCACGTACAGAACTAGACCTGGCCCAGAACCAGTGTAGTCACTGGTGGGCCACTGTGACCCATGCATACCTCTCCGGGCCTCAGTGTCCTCCTCTAAGAGCAGTGGGGTTGCCTAAGAGCAGGGAGTGGGAGTGAGGACGGTCTCTAAGAGGTGAACCAGGAAGCTGGCATGTAAACAATGAGGTCAGTTTATCCGCAGAAGCTCTTTCAAAGGCAGGGCCTACAGCGTTAAACTGTGAAGGATGGTGGGTAGAGAAAGCCCGGCACACGTGTGCAGGAGGGCCCAGGCCTGTTCAGGTCTATTCAGGCTTCCCCTTGTGGCCCAAAGGACAGCATCCGATGCGCATCTCCAGCACCAGCCATGCTTATGTTTTGTGTGTTTGGCACAGAGTTCGACTTACAAATGGTTTTAGTTAGGATGACTTTTGTAATCCATGCATGACCAAGCCAAAGTTAACACATGTGTAAAAATGTTGCTCTTCAGACAAAGACAGAGATGGAGAGGGGGAGACAAAGAGGAAGATGGCCTTGTGCGATGTGCCAGGCAGTGTGCGAGTGTCACAAACTCGCTGCTTTGACACCTTCCAGGTTGACCTGGCACGACTGTGAAGAGGAGGACACAGTCACCAGGGAACATGGGCCGGGTCTGGACGAGCACGCCTTTGTGCCGAGTCCCGGGCTGAAGAGAAGCGCAGGCTGGGAACCCAGCTGCCCTCTGAACCCAGGACCGGGAGGGCGCCTTCTGGGCAGCATGGACCCGGCACGAGAAGGGCAAAGGCTCTGATGACTGCGTGGACTGCTTCGTTACCCATCAGAAACTCCCAGCAGGAGTCAGGCAGCCGGTCACCACAAAGTGAACACTAGCCAGAAGTCCTGGCTGCTTCTGACGAAAAGCTCAGGCAACAGGAGGAAACTGTAGGTGTCCCACGGATACCACAGCAGAAAAGCCCTGAGCTGAAGCCAGAGCTGGCGGCCTCATGCAGCGCCCGTAACGTGCAACCCCAGAACCGACTAGAGCCTACACCGCAGAAGCAACTGGAGCCACTTGTTTAGCCCCGGCGGCTCCCCTCTCCATCGCCCTCCCCTGGGTGGGGTCCTCCTTCAGGGCATACCTGTCTGGGCTGCCACCCTTCCGTTGTCCAGGCTAGCTCCGGGTAACTCGGAGCAGACGGAAGCCACATCTGCCCTCTCCCTCCTCCCCTCTCCCCACCCTGACAGCTCTCGTCTCCTTGGAGAGTGAGGCATCCCACAAGACTGGGGGACAGAGAAAGGGAAGAATAGAAACTACACGACCTGAAGCACAAATGGTAAAGCGCAGAGGGCAGTGAAGATAACTTGAATCCCCACTGCCCCGAGATGAACTGGGGGCAGAGGAACCGACCGGGGCAAGTGCTTGGCCAAGCAGCCCCTGGTGGGCAGCAGGGGGCAGGGTGTGCCCGGCCACGTGGGTGGACAGGACAGCAAGGAGACTGGTTCGCAGAGGGAGAGGCCTCCAGGCCGGGGCTGTGCTCAAGCGCACTGCACTCTACCTTTAATGTCCTTGTGGGAGCCCAGCCGGTGCCGTCAATCGAATGTTCTCTCAGTAAACTGAAACAGACAGAAAGGCACAGCGGTCAGCAAGGGCAGCCTCCAGGCACAGGAGCTGCAGATGTGCTGAGCCGCCGCCGCCAAGCCCTCTGGGCCCATGGCTCCTCTTCAGGACATCTGCTTTCTCCGGGCCCCACCTCTCCCCTGGTGCCTCGCAGGCCCGTCTCCCTGCAGGAGGCCATCTCTACCCCTAAGTCTAATCTGTTATGCCATGTTTATTGCTTGTACACCCAGGTCTTTAATCCTGCATGCACAAGAAGTTCTAAGCAAGAAGAAAGTATGGTTAAAATAACATACAAAGAACACTTGTCAACTTAATATTCAGAAAATGACAACTGATGCTTAGAACTTCCTATGTGTTTCAGCATGATCCTAACCTCACGTAATGCCTCAACAACCCATGAGGGAGGTGCTGCCATCTCTCTAATGCAGAAAAGAAAACAAGGCACAGAGCAGCAAGGGCACGGGCCTGGGGGACAGTCCTTCAAACCTGGGCAGCTTGCCCGGAGATGCAGGTGAACACGGATGACAGCTCCTAGCACACATTCTAATACCTTGTTTTTGTTTTGTAAAAAAAAGTTCAAAAGGGAAAAATGAAGGATAGAGGTAGATTAACACAAAATTCTGAATGGTCCTCACCAGTGGGTGGGAGGACCATGTTCAGAAAAGGTGCACATGCGCTTTGGAGGTACTGTGAGGTCCTATGTCCTAAGGTGGACCCGAGGGCCACTTCCATCCCTGTTCCATCAGCTGTACATGCACATTACACACTCTTCACAGAAACGATTATTCCACACTTGGAAAAACGAGAATTTATCGCCAAGTTTCCTTCTGGGGCGAAATCAGTTTGGCACTGTTGAGCTGTATCCTGCTGCTCCTTCGATGGTACATAACAGTTCCTAAGCTCACACGGCAGCGCCTGGCTCTCTGCACCTTAACTGTTACTGTGAAGAGAAGTTCTGGATCAGAGCGTGTTCAAATTCCCGTAAGTCAATTACGATCAGGAGAAAATATAAATATCCTATAATCTTAACTGCCCATGAAGATCAGTTAGAATAAATAAAACCTTAACTTGACCACTACTACTTACTTTGAGCCTTAAGAACAAAACAAGAAAGAAGAAACCGACATCTCCACCCTGCAGAGCCCCAGGCCTTGTTGACAGGAAAGCTCTGCAACTTCAGAGTAACCATTCGGGAACCATGCGCCAGGTCCTGGAGGTCTATATGACCCAGTGAGAGGTCTCCTCACTGGGGTAGGGACAGGAATCTGTTCAGATTGTCCTTGTCCTTTTCTCTGACAGACCTCATCACTATCCTCAGCCATCTACCTGTTCACTTGTTCAATGCCTGTCTCCCCAGCAGCTGCCAAGCCCCACAAAGCAAAGAATACCAACTGCTCCCACTGCATCTGGGCTTGACCACCATTAGCTGATGGCGGAGGGGGCAGCTTCACTGGCTGAGCAGGTAGTATCCTCTGACCCCTGTCAACACACAGCCAGAGCAGGAGGGCTCTGAACCTGGAGGCCAGCTGTGCCCACCCAGGGCAATGGCAGATAAGGGGGGGGGGGGTACCCATAATCGGGCAGGCTGTGCCCAGGGCTGCAGGCCACAGGTCTGGGCAGAGTGACACTATGGAGGGAACACACTGTCACTGTGCAAGCTCTAGCCCAGCCTCAGCAGGTGGCAGGCCCTCAGAGGGTACCAGGCAAGGGATTAGAGAGGGTGCCTCAGGGGCTACACTGGAATCATGGGCCCCAGGAGAAAAAGTCTCAAGTGCAACCACCAGGGTCCTGGCCCGGAGCCCTCTAATCCCACAGACACGGCCCCTCTCACCTCTGACCCTGAGCCAAAAGCAGGCGAGGGCCCCTGGTGGGAGCAGAGCAAGCCTCACAAAGAGAGGTAAGTGCCCTGTGTACTAGACAAGGCCCCACAGAGCACCAGGCACCGGTCAGAGCTGCTGAGTGAGGAATCCAGGTAGATGCTGCCTGGCGGTCACTGCAGACCAGGAGTGGCTGGCCCAGGCTTGTCTTTCTCTTTATTCAGGAGATGCCAGGATTAGTCAGTGGTACACTAAGCCCCTGCTGGACACTGTCTGGTTTTCTCCAAAACAATGAGGAGGTCTTTGCACTTTAATCTGGCACATTATTTCCCACAAACAAATCCCTACAAGTGCAGCTGACAAATCCAAGGGTAAATACAAGTTAAATGTAGACTTTATAGCTGATATATAGGTATATCTCCCATGATGTGAGAGAGCCTGTTCTTTCCCTTTCTCTCTCTCTCTCCTTTCTCTCTTACCCCCCCACCCCCCACTGGGTATTTGCTTTTGCTCCGGGCAATATGAGGAGTGGTGAGCGGCATCTCATTGTTTCCATGAGCCTCTCTCCGGCTACTACGGAGACCAAACATCCCTCAGGTGCTTACCACCCACCTGTAACTCTCCTATGAGTCACTACTTGTACCAGGTGCTCGGTTTTCCTAGTGGGTGTGTCTGTCTTTTTCATCCTAATTGGCAAAAACCTTTTACACATGAAGGATGTAACCCAGCTGATCTTTTCTCTCTCACTTTTATGTTTTGTCTTTTTAATTTTAATGTGGCTAAATCTATCAATGATTTTCCTTTAAGGCTTCTGGCTTTTGCTGCTGGCTGCTGCCCACTGAGTTCTCCTCACACTTTGCTAATAATCTGATTTCTCAGAAGACAGCAAAAGTGATGGAGAGAAATTCCTGCCCTGGCATTAACTCTGGTGGAGGATAGGGTGTGACAGGTAGGGCGTGCGGTGGACTCCCAGGAGAGCAAGCACCAGCGATGGCCTCAGGGGAAAAGGCTGGAGTGGATGCCATCTACAGCTTGAAGCTGGAGGAGTCCGATTTTGTAAGTGTGATACTTAAAGGACAGGCGGGGAAAAGGTGGCCTCTCGTAAATGCATTTGTAACTGTCTACTGAAACGGAGGCGGATAGGAGAGAACAGTGGACACTGCACTCAAGCTGCACCGGGAGCTGGATACTAACTGTGCTTTTAAGAAGGAAGAGGGGGCGCCTGGGGGGAGGCGCAGTCGGTTAAGCATCGAACTCTTGATTTCGGATCAGGTCATGATCTCAGTCCTGGGACCGAGCCCAACATGGGGCTCGGTGCTCACTGGGTAGTTTGCCTGTTGCTCTCCCTCTGCTCCTCTCCCAGCCTGTGTGCTCTCTCAATAAATATATAAACGAAGAAGAAGAGAAAGAGGAGGGGGAGGGGGATGAAGAAGAAGGAAGAGGGGTCCAGCTTTGCTGGCACTACGGGCAGTGTGTAGCTCCCCATCACAGGCAGGCTGGTGTTGCCAGGGCGGGGACGGGACACGACACGACACTGACTTAATCACAGGAAGAAAGCAGAACAAGGAGCTAATGCTAATGCCTACCCTCTGCACTGTGGCTGAAGGTTACTGTGACTTTGCTGTGGCAAAGTCACCCGCTGCGGGTGGACGTGCAGGGTTCCAGCCCGGGCAGTCTGGCCCCAGAGCCCCTGCAACCCCACTGCCGCCTTAGTAGAGAAAGTGACGAGACGCAGGAAGATAAAGCCCAAGTGCTAAATTTACTTAAAAACAACAAACCACACACCCTACATTAGTGACCAGCAGCCTAGAGAAGCGGGGAGTTGCAGATCCCTGATCATCTGCCACTGGAAGGGGGAGGGACACACAGGCCACAACTGACATGAAGTTCTGGGAAAACTGTCCTGCTCTATGCACATCAAGACTTTTGGTAAAAAGAGGACATCTTAAATACAAATGCCCAGGTCTTAAACTTGCCATCTACACCCCCCCACCCCAGATTTTATAAATCCTACTTTTCCTTTTTATTTATTTTTATTTTTTTTAAAGATTTTTATTTATATGACAGAGAGACACACAGAGAGGGAACACAAGCAGGGGGAGTGGGAGAGGGAGAAGCAGGCTTCCCACAGAGCAGGGAGCCCGATGTGGGACTCGATCCCAGGACGCTGGGACCATAACCTGAGCCGAAGGCAGACGCTTAACAACTGAGCCACCCAGATTTTATAAATCCTACTTTTCCTTCTTAGCTAAAATCAGCCACATGGAGGGATTGCAGCCTCTCACTACAACAGGAGCGGAAAAGGGTGAGGAGGCCTGGAGGGAGCACCAGCAGGGCTCTTGGCCACCGGAGTGCCCAGGAGGACTTGGGTCTGGAGGTGGAGGAAGGCTGGGGGTGGGAGACCTTCCAGTCACTGGAGTACAGCCCAAAGCTCTGAGGGTGGTTTCCCAAACCTCCCTAAACGTGGCCCAGCCTCAAAATTTCCTCTCAGTGGAGATTATGTGTTAGAAAGCCCAATGCTCACACATAGTGCTCACAAACACAGAAGCCAGGAAAGAAGAGAAACCCACCTTAGACATATTTCGCCTGTCTCTGTGATGTTGGGGTGCCAGATCCTCGTCAGGCATTTCACTTTGGGAGGCTGCAACACAGAGAGAAAGAGACTCTCCAAATCATGCCTACTGCCACACACCCATCTAGCCCCTTGTTCCACTGCTTACTGGGCACTCGCTCGGACTGGCCCCAACCAGGGTTCAATCCTGGACTCCCGTCACCTGAGCAGGAGCGTCTTCACACTGCACCCACAAGTGCTAGCCTGCCCGTACCCCTAACACGACCCTTCTACAAGTCCCAGGGCCGGAGGGGCAGTGGGGCTGGTGGCGGGGCCCCAGCCCGCTCTGACCCTCCCTGCCAGGGCTGTGGAGCCCACGGTGCGCTGCAGGCCCCGGTCAAACCAGGAGCCTGCAGACGTTACGCTGTGCGCTACGCTGCTGAGCTGTGGCTGAGGGTTACTGCTCCTCACGGCGGTAGCTGGGTCCCTGCGCGCGTGTTTCTGAAGATGCGACTGCCATGTACATGGTCCTACATCCAAGTCATAGTCTGCTTTATGCTTACAGGAGGGAAAGAGAATGAAAACGAGCATGTGGGAGGAAGGCACACCGACATCACTGATGACGAGGCATGTTTGGATGAAGCTGTTCTTTTAAAGTGACTCGATAATACAAGCAATCCATACTCATTTAAGACAAAAAGACAATGACAACAAAAGGCAAGATCTCTAGAAATTCTCTAACACCCGATACACATCTTGTGAGCCTCTTTTCTAGGCCCCACACAGAGATGCATGTGCGTGCACATTCATTTTTCCTTATGGAAGTGGGGACGTGTGCTCTCTATCTTTTCATATTCCTTTCTGTAATCACTTCAAATGGCTTTGGGCTTTCTCGCCCTCCATGGTACAATTCTAGCATTTCACAAGCCAGTTCCTATTACTGGACATTTAGGTTGTCTCCTACCTCTACCACGAACTGGGCTAAATCAGTGTGCTCATCTCTGCTCACATCTGTAGGAAAGGTCTGCCCGGGAGGAAGCCCAGGTAGAGGAACTGCTGGTCAGCGCACACAAGTGTCATCTGGCCAAGTCTCAAGAGACACGTCATCTTGTAGACATTCACAGCCCTTTGTTACGGGGGGCCACGCTTTCCACGTTTATCATTCAGTATTAATTTGCATTTATGATGCTTTCTTTTGTAAAGTCTTTGTAATCAAATTTTTATCTTTGTTACCAACCACCCAAATCCTCTACTGCACTTTTTCTAGTACTTGAATGGTTCCCTCATTTTATTTGTACAAAACATACTTTTCCAGCACTCTTTTAAGTTTTCCTCCTGATTTTAAAACAGCATGACATCAAGAAACTCCCCCAGATAATTAATCCAAGCATGCAAATATAGGTGTCCAAGGTTACAGAATTTAGGTTCAGAGTGAGTTTCAATCAATTTAATATGCTCTAATTTGGTTTCCTGCAAGTAAATGGGAATGCATTTGACGGAAAGTATGCTAGTCATCGTGCATTTCCAGCAAGGCCTTCAGGCTGAGGGAAGGCCGACATTGCAGGGTTGTATGAATCTAAGTAACAATACAGTTTCCATACTGGGTAGACTGAATCACCAACCTGGCATCGGAGGGAACCTGCAGGCTCTATCTCCCTCCCTTCTAGAGAGTCCTTGACACACACACACCTGTCACCCCGCCTAATGTTGTTCACTGGATCTCCAAGTATCCGACTGTATTTGCCCCTCTCCTCCTTGTCCCTTCCCACCTTCCATAGTTAGATGTTGGCACAGACACCTCCCCTTGTCAGTGGTCCTCCTAACTGCAGTCCCCAGACAAGAGAACAAATTAGAACTATGGACCCAGATTCTGACACACACTTTCCAAACAGAACTTGTAGACCTGACCCTACCCCTAAAGCAAGACAGACGAGAAACACCCAGTCCCACCTCCTACTTGGCAATGCCGCCTGCCCCATCACAGGCTAGGAGTTTAATATATGACAGCCACGGCATTGCAAACCAATGGGGAAAAAGGGATTCTTCAGTGCACAACTGGATAACCATCCGGAAAAACAGATCCCCACTTAAGAGTTGTACTCCAGATGCATTAAACACAAATGATACAGAACTATAAGAGCACTGAAGAAAATGCAGATGATTTACCTTGGGATCTGAAGGCCTGTTTTAAGCATTTCATAACAAGAAAAACTCATGAAAGAAAAGTAGATTTTAGTACAGTGGTGAAGCAAAACAAAACAAAACAAACCCCTCCCCCGCAAACCCCCCCGAAGTTTTACAGAATAAAAACAACAAAAAACAAGGGAAAAACAGAAAAATCTTTAGAGTACAACTAAGAAAACTAGGGAAAACGTTTCATATAAATTCCAGCTGAGAATTCTTATAAGAAAAACAAATATCCCAGTGGAAGAAAGGGCTCAGGACATAGTAACAGCTCACAAAGAACATAAAAAGCTAATAAATAGGAAAAAAAATATTCAGCATTCCACTTATTTAAGAAATGAAAACTCAAATGACAATTAGATACCATTTATTTCCTCCCAAAATGGCAAAAAGAAATCAAAAGATTCCATTTTCGTGAGGAAAAAGGGCCTTTTCAGACAGTACTGGTGAGGAAGCCGCTGGCGTAACCTCTCTGGGAACTAGTTTAACAGTATCGATGAGGAGTCTTAAAATCAGCATCAGTTACTCCACACTGGTAACCCCACGAGGATTTATGCCAAGGACAGAGGCAGACGCGCAGCAGCCGCTGTCTGGGCCACGCACGGCAGCACCGCTTATGCCCGCCGTCAACGACCGACAGCCTATGCACCAAGTGCAGGCGGGGCCTGCTGCTGCAGGGATCTAAGTATGGTTTCTACATTTTGAAAAGACTGTTTAAAAAAATCCCAACTATTTTGTGGAGAAAAATAAGTATATGTGATAGAGACCATTTGCGGTTCACGAAGCCTAAAATATTTACTACTCACAGAAAGTGTGGTTCATACTGTCAAAAACTGGTCAACTAGTGACCAACAATAAAGGACTGATTTAAAACCATGACGCAGTGCTCTTATTAATGATGATATAACATGTTCTCATGTGAATTGACATGAGAACATTTGTTCATCACGTTATAGTGTTAAAAACCCCAAGTTATCAAGCTATGTGTAGCATGACCCCATTTGTACATACGATTATATGTCGCCCATAACATACATCAGAAAGTGAACAGCGATCATCTCTGGGTGGAGAGGTAACAGGTGATTAACATTCCATTTCTGCAGAGCCGTATTTTCCCCATTTCCTACAAAGCATACACTACACACAAGGCAGAGGGGAGTGGGGGTTCAGTTCACTTGTAGTATCTCTGCCCCACCCCCCCTTTCTGGGGCTGGTCATGGCCATGTCTCTTGATTCGGTTATGTTTTATCAAAAATGTGAGGGGAGGGGCGCCTGGGTGGCTCAGTCGACTGAGCGTCCGACTCTTGGTTTTGGCCCAGGTCATGATCTCGGGGTCCTGAGATCAAGCCCCACATCAGGCTCCACACTCAGCGTGGAATCTGCTTGTCCCTTCTCCCTCTGCTCCTCCTCCTGCTCTCTCTCATAAACAAATAAAATCTTAAAAAAAAAAAAGTGTGGGGGACGTAACATGTGTTACTTCCAGGAGGAAACCGGAGGCAAAGAATGAAAAGCCGTGTCCCCTTCTCCTGCTTCAGCGCATGGTCTCTGCCAACCAACGGGCGATTAACATGCCACGGGGGCATTGCAGGACTTTGGGACTGTGACACCACACTGAGCCCTGCTCCTCCTCTGGGCGTCCTGATCACCCAGGGATCCCCAGCGCTATGTCACCACCCTGGCTCATCACTGTTTGTGCTGTCTCCCAGGAGACTGGGGTTCTTAAAAAGCCAGTGTCTGACATAGAACCTTGCAAAGCTCATTTCATGTCACTAAATAATTTCAGCCACTATCTTAGAGAGATCACAAGGCAGACTTGAGGCTGTGAGGTAAAGTTCAGGGACAAAAGGACAAAGAGCCAAAGGAAAATTTGAACTTTAGCTGCTGGGGTGTAGGGGCATTTAGGGGGTAGGGAAACCAAATAGGTATTTTCTTTCTTTTAAAAGTTTACTCTAAAATAATGACCTATTTAAGTGATTAGAAGTTTTTCAGAATGACAATCTTAGTAAGTGACTTTAATTGAAGAAGCTGTAAGTGTCAGGGGTTTTTAAAAAGTCCTTACCAAGTACAGAAATCATATAAAGTCATGGCATAAAAGCAAATGAGCCTAAGACAGCTCCATGGAGGTCTCTCCGGCTAACCTTCTAAAAGCTGGCTGTCTCCCATCCAAATAAAACATAGGTGCCTAAAGTTTACTCTCACCATCTCTGCCCCAAATGCCTACAACCTATGTATTTTCAGATGCTGGTTTCATTTTCTACACCGTTAAGTCTGTAGGGGCAGAGAGCACCAATCGTTGGACAAATGTGTACTGTGTGCTCTCACAGAGCCCTGGAAATACAGTGTAAGTAAGACACTCCCAGTCTAGTGGAAAGAGACGTTAAGGAGTTATATAAGCAAAGATTAACTACAAAAAAGTAAACACAAATACCTGTATTGGTTAGGCACTGCATTACATGGTTTCCCGGGGATGGTGTCACCCCCCAATCCCTGCCCTGAGCTAGTGACAGTCACCGGCCTGGTAATTACGACTGCGGCCTCAGCCTGGACATGGAGGCAGAGAGGACATGCAGGGGCCGCAGGAGCACAGAGTGGAAGAGGCCCTAACGGCAGCAGGGCAGGGTCTGGGTCCACCCCAGAGGGGCTGGCCTCTCAGTGCCCCTGGCTTGAGAAATGGGTTTCATTCCTGATGAAATCAAACCAGCCCATCATTCAGAAATTTCCCAAAGGAGACAGAAACTAAATATAAGAATGTAAAACCATCATAAGTCACCAATTAATGTAAGAAACATGTCCTCGAGGCTCAGCGGTTTTCTATCCTGTGTATTCCGTGTCCTACCTCTCTATTTCTTGAAGAGGTCACATAGGGGCAAGACAAGATGACCAATATTTTCTCCCACAAAGTGGCCGCTGGGTTTGGGAAGGGCACATGTCAGGGAGCTGGGCAGCACTGGACGAGAACCTGCTTTAGCAATGGAGCTATTTATTCTGGCAAAGCTAACTCTACCTCTCTGGGCCGTAACTTCCTGACGTGTCCCCAGGCAACTACTGGAGAATCACACGAGGGGAAGTGAGTGGGGGCACCTGGTACATAAAAGCTCCCAACAAAAATCGCTTCCCTTGGTGTCTTCTCATGCTCTGCTCTCTTCCGATCCTGGGACCAAGAGGCTCTGCCACTAAATGATACCTAATGTACCTGAAATAGTGGTCCTCAGATTCGGCAGCCCCTCCCCACACCATCCTCCTCCTCAAACACTCACTGCCTCTCCAAGAAGACTGTGTCACATACCACCCTTTAGCACTCTTCCGACGAGGAGTCCTTAGAGACGGCAAATGCCCAAACAGCTAAAAGGTCCAGAATTTTAAGTGCTGTATGCCTGGCTGTTTCCAGAAAACATCAAACTAGCCCCTGGAATTCTAAACATCTGTACTTCAACCAAACCTCTCCAACTGTGTCTCCCCTGAGGGAGTCCAGTGTTCTGTCAAGCCAGACTCAGTGTGTGATTAGGGAAATAGAGGAAGTCAGCAGGGAGCTGGATGGATGGACAGATAAAGACCTGAGATGCATATTTTCCTGTCTTTGCTTAGAAATTAAGTTTTTTCTTCTTGGATTGCCAACTCTTTCCCATCCTCACGAACTACATTCAGAAAGAACTTTTAATGTAGTAGCCTAGTAAAAACCAATTACTTAGATAAAGGTTTGGCTTCAAATAACGAAGTGTGACAGCCACTGAACTGTGCCCTGGTGGTGGGCCGGGCCCGGGGCAGGGGGCCTCACTGCACTTGTCAGCTGGTAGGTCAGTCATTGCAGGCAAACCAACGTGGCACACAGGGTCCCCAGTACCCACAGGCTCAAGGTAACAAGAGACTTAATTTTACCATCAGATTTTTTTTCCTAGTTGATAGGCCTAGAGAGGGATGGGAAATAGTAGGGGCATGTATATATATATATATCTCATGTAAAATTGTGGAGCTGTTCAGAACTGTCACTGGTTTCTCACTGCCAAAGTGAAAATGCCCAACAACACTCAAATGTGAGTTTCTTGTTTGTCCCCACTTCTCCCCAACCCTGATTCCTCCTTCTAGTTGACCTGGTCAATCCACCACACACATGCTGCTCATTCTCACTTCTGTACCTATTAAAACAGTTCCAGGGATTTCGACATCACCTAGACCACCATCCCCTGGTTAAGGGTCAACCAAGTCAGGACAACTCCAGTCCTATTTCTCCTGAAAAGCTCAACTGGCTGGACCACCTTCCCAATGTGATCCTCTCCTTCCTTCTCGGAATCCCGTGCATTAATTTCCTGGCACTGCTCCATATCTCTGTTATCTGCTACTTAGGGCTTTTATCATTTTAGGGTAACTTTCTACACTTTTTCTCACCTTCCTAACTGGTAAGTTCCTTAAGAGCAAGGATAGAATGTGGCAGTACTTGGTATAATTATTACCTAGGTGGGGTCTTTGAGAGATCAACATTACTTATGGTTTAAAACTATGAGCCATTCCTCTTTTCTAAAATTCTAAAATACGTGTTTTCTACACCTTGGGAATTCTGGTGTTATACCACAAACAAAACCACAGTTCTAAATAAAATGCTTTCTTCCTCGGTGCCAGGATTTAACAAGTTAAGACTGGTGTGAACCACACAGGCAGCTCCAAGCGAAGGTGCCAACCTCGGCCGAGCTGTAGCCCCCATGCGCATTGCCCGACACACAGCACTCACAAGTACTTGTTAAAAAATGCATCTCTCCCCTAAGGCTCTGAATACTGCCGACGAGCAACATGAATCACAGAAATATCGGCCGTTTTGTACTCAGCCCCAGGACTGGGGGGACCCAAAGTGGGGGGAGGGGGTGAGGGGTGCAGGGCCGTGACCACTACTGGGCCACGCAAAGGGGACAATGATTCAAACGCAGGCTACTCACCACCATGTTGTACGCATCAGGAACTTCAGTTTCAAACTGAAATTTTCCACCCTGGTAGTAACCCTCATCTATCGAAAACACAAAACAAAACAAAAAAATCCTTTAAATTAAAAAAAAGGAAACAAAAAGCAAACACTCATGTTAGAATATGGCAAATACAGAGAATTAAGAGTTAAACAATAGGACTGGAGGGTTCCTTGTTACTTCACCAAATCCTGCCCTGCTCTAATGATGAACCCCAATCAGTTCCCTGCTGGCCTGTCACCCCACTAGCCATGCGCCCTCAGGGGAGGTGTAGGCACCCTTCTGGGGGACTGGTTCCTCTTCCTCAGTCTCCCAGGACCTGCCCAAGGAACGCTGTTCTCACCTCGGCCCACCCCACTCCACACCCCAGCACCCAGGGGACCCCTTCAAGCACATCTCATGATAGGCAACCATCCTGTTTGAGCTGCAGGGCCATCTGTTTGCTGCTGGTGGCCCCATGAGAATGTCAGTTCCGAGGGGTGCTCCGGGGGGCCGGGGGGGGCAAGCAGTGGAGCACAGAGACGGGATCCTCGCCTCAGAGACGGCGCACAGACAACGCTGCTGGGCGGGCTGGCTGAGCGCTGGCTGCAGCCTTCTGAACAAAGCGGGACCTCTGGCAGGGGGCTGGTGGGCATGCAGGAGGATGTCTGGAGTCAGGGCGGCACTGGGTCAGGCCCCACAGCGCAGTCCCAGCTCCTGTGATGGCCTCAGCTACCTCTCAGCCTCTTCTAGGGTCAACCAGGCCGGCATGAGCCTGGCCTGCAGGTGCACAGTAGAGGCTACTGGGGCTGCTGCCAGCAGAGGGCGCTCCACCATGAAGGTGCTTGAACCTGAAACACTTCCCCCCAGTACTCTGAGTTTCACAACTTGACAAAATTAACACCATCTTTAAAATGAAAGTTCAACTTCCCCCCAAATATTTATCATTGTGAACAAATCAGCAATAGTACATCTTATTGCTTCCCTCAGCTGTTTATGTAAAATGAACATTTAATAGGAAGTTGTTAGTTTCCAATAAATCATCACTAAAAAAGTTTTTTGAGATTGCATCAATACTTACGTTGTCCATGGTAGTTTTAACTAACATTACCTGGACCCCAAAGTTTTCATTCTTTGCCAGCATGACAGAAGAGAAATACTCTATTTGTTTCATTTTACACTGAAGAAAAGTAGTGAGGCTGAAATTTACTTCATATTGAATCATTTAATGACTGATGTTCCATAAGTATCCTTGTATTACTGAGGTACCCATGCTTTAATTACAATATAAAAAAGCTCTTAAGAAGATTAACCTTTGCCTTTTATATTTGTTACAATGTTTCTTAGTCTGCTGTTTGTCTTTCGGTTTTGTGGTTCAACTAGTTTTCACTTTTGAGAAGCCAGTCTTTCTGTGGTTTGTCTTTGGTATTACCCTGAAAAAGATCTTTCCCAACCAATATTATAGAAAGACCTGATTTCTCTGTTTTCTCTTAGTGATCCTGTGGTTTCATATGTCCCATCGGCTCATCTGGAATAAGGTGGTGTGTTTTCTCCGTGCTTGCCTGACCCATCACATAGTATTTATTATCCTACCCTTCCCCACTATCTGATGCGTCTATTTCTAGTGCTAACAAGTGCACTTGGATTCGTGACTGACACTATCGAGTCTTTGGAAAAGACTCTGGGGAAAAATTTTACCTCCAGATACAAGAACTTTCCAAACAAGTGGCATCTCAGGTATAAAATAATCAGAGCACATCCTTGCTCACCAGAGGCTCTGTGTTGCACAGCGGTCATCGTGGCCGAGTGGCCCAGCGCTGGGCTCTGTAGACCATGCGGCGGCACCAGAACGCCAGCTTCAGGTGCAGAGCTCCACCTGCTCTCTTCTCTTCTTGCTCCCCAAGGCTGTGCTCCAGCCCCTCCATCCTGCCACACCACTGTGGTTTTTCTCTAGCTGGCTTTCCATGCCACGATTATAGAGTTTCAACTCTGCTATCTACCAGTTTCAAAGAAACTATTATTTGGTCTAAAGGGGTTTTGGTTTTACCATATTCCTCTGTCCTACTCAAGCTCTCAATTAGTAATTATTAGAATTATATCATGTCTGAATCCACTGAAAAGAGAGAGCAAGCAGACGGTTGTAATTTTTGTTCTATTTCACGAAACACGTCTTTCAGGAAAGATTATCAGCTCCTGAGCCAGTACTTCGTTTTTCCTCTTCTAAGGTACGTAAGCCTTTGGACCTGATCCACCTTGGTTGTGAATTTGCCTAGAAATGCCACAGTCCCACTTACAAAGCAGCTGAGGAGCAGACTGGACTGAGAGGAAACTCAAGAGCATCTCTTGTTTCCTGTGATTTTCTCAACAAAAGGCCCCAGGGAAGAGTTCTTGCTGGTCCACCTTCCGGGTCTGGCTCCCGAGCTGGCATTTCGCAGGGCGGAGACGCAAGACGGCCTACACAGCTCTGGAGCCAGCGGGCAGCGGGGTCATTTAGAGCGTCCATAACCCAGTGTGCACCACATCCAAGTCTGGGACAGGCCCACTACGTCACTATCCGTGACTGCTGTGGCTGAAAACATCCTGCTTCTCAGATAACTGGGCATTCAAGTACAACAATGAAATGCAGTAGGAAAGTTCCTGGCATCCACCTCTCACTGGGCCAGCCTATCCCCGTCACCCAGGGTTCCAAAGACAGGAACCATCTTTCCCTCCTCTTGTATCCTGGAGCCCACTCCCTCCTGCCTTCCAGGAATCATCCACCACTATCTCCCAGCCAGGTTAGGGGTATTCCTGGGAGAAAACTGTCCAAGGGGTAGGTGGGTACAAACAGCCTCAAGAGAATCCACTTCTAGGTGGTCAGTGTCCAAGTGCATTCTCTCCTAAAATGAAGCTGCCTGACCATCTCAAGAGTCGTGCAGGCCTCCCCTTCCCTTTCCCTTCTCACAGCTGCTCCCCCGGGGGCAGAAGGCTGAGTCTCAGCTCTCCTCTTACCACGATGCACTGCCCCAAGGCACAAACATCCCAGAGGACAAAGGTCACAGGAAAGCCCTTTGAAGGGAGGCACAGGGCAGGGTTGTGCTTTCCCTATCCTACACCCAGTTCTGTTAAGGGCAAAGTAGGGTGTTATAAATAAATAAGATATCCCAGTTCATACTGGAATGTCTTAAATTCAGACACATCATAGAGTCTGATGGCAGGGATGATTAAAATTTCATTTAGCAACTTCAATCCCTAGACTACTGTAAAATAACACATTATCCCCATGAGAAGCAAGCAAACAGGGAGCCAATAAGCCACAGGCATGGTACCTTCTTCCACCCAGGTGACTGGCTCCATGCCTCACTTAACTGCTAGGAATTAAACTCAGAAGAGAGGTGGCTGATGGTACATCTTAGAGATAAGTAAGACTTCTCCTGAGAGTGAGTCTGACTGCTGACTGGGCTGATAATTAGAACTGGTTCTGCCTATTTATGCACTGGGTAGATAGTTCTGATAAATTGAATGAGCCAAATCTACAGCTTCAAGGTTTTAAGGAAATATAAAGCATACATTTTTATATTGGTAAAGGTATGGCAAAATCAGTAATATCACAGAATTCTCAACTCTTACTGAGAATTTCAGATAAAACAAGAGATGCTTCTAAGTGAAGACAGGTATGACTAATGGCCAGTTGACAGGTCTTGGGAAAGTGGTTTTGGTGACTGTCTCAGAAACCGTGATGCTAAGGGACGCTGATGACTGTGTTTGGAAAGTCTTCTCCAAGTCAGGTGGGTTCCAATTCTCTGCTTTCAACAAAATGGAAGAAGGACCCTAATCTAGTAATCAGCAAAAAGATCAACAAAATATCTTATATGATATTTTTGGCCTCTAACTTTGAAGCCCAAGGATGGAATGTCATAGCTATAACAAAATACCTTCCAGGCCTGTCTGAACAAGCAGTCCTCAGTGTTTACATCTACAGAAACAGAAAGAAAGAAAACTGATACTGAACCCTTCTTTCTGGCATAAAGTCATTCACAAATACATCAACTAAATCAGAGAAAAATGCTAATAGTAATAACTCCATCATTCTCAGATGCATTTCAGATGAAGTGCTATGTTGTGTTTAATAGCCATCAAAGCTTGCAACATATTGTGTAAAGTCATTATTCATTCAACAAATATTTGACGAGTGCTTATGATGTGTTTTAGGCACTGGTGACACATCAGCAAGAGACCTTTCCTGCCCTGACAAAGCTTACATTCTAGTGGAAGAGGGACAAAATAAATAAGGAAATCATATAATAGAAGATGAAAGAGCTAAGGGAGTAGGAGCTGCGATTTTAAATAGGGTGGCTGGAGAGAGCAAAGGCCTGAAAAAAGGCCACTGGGGTGAAGAACACTCCAGACAGGGGAGCTGGGTGAGGCCCATGAGAGAGCCTGGTATGTTCAGGGAAGACTCCAGAGGCTGGAGGCGAGGCAGGGGAGGGAGGAGCTGAGGCTGAAGAGGCCACCGTGAGAGCGCTAGCTTTTACGCAGTGAGACAGGGAGCCATGAGAGGGGTCTGAGCAGAGGAGGGAGAGGCTGGAGGCCCTGTGGAGGCTATCTCTTACAGTAACCCCGGTGAAATGTTAAGCTGTTAGGACAAGGGTGGAAGCAGTGAAGTGGGAATACTCTGATGGGAGCACCACCAGCGTTTGCTGGCAGATTAGGCGAGGGGTGGGGAAGAAGGAGCCACAGAAGAGCTGAGTTCTCTGACCCTGCAATGCAAAGGGCAGGGCTGCCACCAGGAAGATAAGAAGGCTGTGAGGGGCACCACCGCACAAAGTTCCATGTCAGACGGCGAATCTGAGGTTTCACGTCAACATTCAAGCAGAGGTGCCAATCAGCAGCCAACAGACCATTCTGGAGTGTGGGGAAGGTTGGGGCTGGATGAGGGTAGTTTGGGAGCTGTTCAGTAGACGGAAGCACTCAGATTTCATGAGCTGACTATGGAGGTCCAAGGACAGGACAGAGTCCGAAGGGGCCCCACCTAGAGGGTCAGGAGAGGAGCCAGGAGGGGCAGCCGGCACCAATGGAGGAAGAC